AGAAAAACAAGTCAATTGAAACATGGGCAAGAATGAATAAATAATTCTCGGGAGAAGATGCCCAAACTGCCAATATACATATGCAAAGATGACCAACCTCACTAATAATCACAAAAATGCAAATTAGAACTAAAGTGATATATCATTTTATACCTACCAGATTGGCAAAATTAAAATATCTGTCAAGATTACACAGCAGCAAAAAATGTGGGGAAATAAGAACTTACATATATAGTTGATGGGGATGTACATTTGTACAACTACTCTGAAGAGTGATTTAACAATATGTGTAATAATAAAGGCAAGATGCACATACTCCACAACCAAGAAATCCTAGTTCTAAGTGCACACTATAGAGAAACTCTCACATATGTGTCCAGAGAGATTTATAATATTCACAGTAACACTAATAGCAAAAGCAAAAATCCTAAATGTCCATCAACAAGAGACATAGTTGAACAAATTGTGATATATTCATTTACTGAAATACTATATATCCATGAAAATCAATGAACTAGAGCCACATGAAGCAATATAAATAAGCTCAAAAACATAATGTAAAAGGGAAAAACAAGTTGCAATTACATGCAGTAATGTAACATTTACATAAAATTTAGGCATGCAAAATGATACCATACATTATTTATGAGTACATCCATACATATGGAGTAAATGTATGAAAACATGCAGGGAAATGATACCCGTTAAATTCAGTACAGTGATCCCCCAGGAAGGATGGAAGGGGAATAGGAATAGGGGATTCCTGTTACATCAGTGATGTTTTATTTGTTAAAAAAATTCTTCAACTATTTCAACAAAATGTTAAGATTTAACAAAGCCAGCTGGTAGGTATAGGAGTGCTTTTTATGTCATTATACATTTTTATGTCTTTAAAATAGTTCATCATTTTAAAAGATGTATGTTCTCTGCCACCAAGTTCACCTTAATGAGAAGTTGACATTTCCTCTGCCTCCTCAACATTTGTAGATGATTATCCGTCTACAGAAGGAAATCCAGGAGCTGAAGGATGAACTGGCCATTGTCACTGGGGAGCGGAGGACAGAGGCACTCACAGAAGCAGAGCTCCTGCAGTAAGCCTGCAAACTTTTTTTCTTTCTAACAGTGAAAGTTTATGTTAACTTCGTTGTTGGCCCTAACGTTACGAATTCACCTCAAAGCATGAAGTTCTCCTGGGACAGTCTGAAATTGCATTTAGGCGCCAGTTAAGAGTGGCGGCTTTCCATGAAAAGCTGGATAAGGCTTGGCAGTGTTTTTGCCACCTCAGCTTTGAGGAAGTAAAGAACAGAGCATAAAGAGGATGGGAATATCCTTCTCGTGCCAGCTGAATAAAAGGGATTGTATAATAGTCCATGCAATTTTAAAACACACACACCAAACACTCTTAAGTTGTGGAGCTCAGATCTGAAAGGAATTCAAGAAACATCCTTTGTATTAAATAGCATCTTGCTGCAAGCACCAATTTATTCCACGCCAAAGTAAGCTTTCTCCTTTAATAAACAGATGACCCATATATTATAGCTCAAACTGGGAATGAAAGCAGGTACTCAGGGCTTTATACAAGTGCAGCATCTTTCAGAACCTTTAGATTTGCAGCGCTATTGTATATCAGTGGCACAATGTGGCTCTCCTCTTTCTGATCATGAGCCACGGTGGTGGCTCTTGTCATTCATGTGCTGCTTATTAAGCATTTGTGGAGTGGTAAGAATACACTAGGCTTAGAGGGCAGTTGCGTTCTCTATTTCCAAATAAGAAAAAAGCCACATAAGACTTTTCTAAAGATATTCTACCATTTTACCTAAGCCTCCTTCAACAGAGAAAATGGTAAATAAGAGAAACAATAAAAGTAGTTTTCTTTAAACTGTTTCATGGTGGCCCCTGAGGTGGATCTGAAGCTTGAGAAGCCTTAAGCAAGGTTTCTGTTACAGACAAAGCTTTCACTCCTCCAAGATAGTGTTTCCTAATTGTAGAACACTGTTTGATAATATGATAGGACCCTAAATCTTTCCTTGCAAAACTACTTTGTGACATATTTGCAGTTACAGAGAATATATTGCCAAAAATTCACATTTTGCAAATTTTCATGTCACTTCTTAAAATAACTTGGGATGTCTTAGATATTAAGATCTTTGAAAGCTGAGACTTTCTTTACTGTGATTCTCCTTTCCCCTCAAAGAAAGGAATTACCAATTATTATCTTAGAAAATGTGTCTTCAGAATTTTGATCTGTAAGTCAGGATCCAGCTAGGAAAACAAAACCACTCTAGGCCTTTCAACAAAAAGAACTGAATGTAGGAAATCGCACAGAAGATGGCTTTGCTGCAAGCTAAACAGGAAATGATGAAGCACTCAAAAGGCAAGAAAAACAAGAGCTCCTACCCACAGGACTGCAGGGACCGCAGGAGAAGGTGACGTTACCAAAAGCCACGGAGCTGACCAATAGGAGCTAGACCATAATGACTGCTGCCTGCCAGGAGCTGTGGCCACTGAGAAGCCACCCACACGTGCTATTTAAGACATCATCCAGGGGGCATCCTTGTCTCCTCCCTCATCCCCCTTCCAGTCTTCCCAGGTTCCCATTGGCTGAACCTACCCAGAATTCAGTTGTTAAAGAAGTCAGGGAATGCAGTTGACATATCCAGGAAGTACTAGTGTTTTTTCTAATCCCCATATATCCTATATGTTGCTCAGGAGGCTCAGTTTAAGGATACGATTCTGAATGTGATGGTTTCAGTATATCAGATTGAGTAAGTGTGTGCTGCAGGTTCCCTCTACTGCACCAAATGTAAAGAATTACAGAACCGATATGCAGAAACACATGAATCTCTCGCCATACCTAAAAACAAGAAGTGGACTTCTCAGGGGACTAGAGGCTTCAAGGAATTCCTGAGAGACTAGAAAGTGGGGATGGAGATGGGCAGGAGAAAAGGATAAACCAAGACACTGGGGCAGAAGGATGATGGCCCCATGTCTGCAAGTGTGGAACCCTGGAGCAGGAGAGGGCTAGGAACGGCATTTGGTAGAGCAGCTGTAGTGGGTGCAGTTGGCCCTGTGAACCCCTGTGCACTCCTCCTTCACAGCACCAAGGATGGAGAAACAGAGAAGAGCCCCAGGTAGCTGGTAGAGAGGGACCAGAGAAGTTCTGAAGACCTGCTGCTGTCTTCAGCTCTGCCCATCCCCCTATTCTCACCGAAAACAAGGAACACAAGTACCTGCAGCTGCTTTAGCCCCTCATCCAAGTCTGGCTGCCCAAGCTGA